CTAGAACCGGGGGAGGTTGACCAACTGGAGGATCCCCCGCGCCCGCGCCGGCAATTTAAATATAAAATCACGTTCCCTAAATACTTCCGTTACTCACTGTACGCTATGAATTGCAATTACAGAAATAAATTTCGCGGAATACCGTCGGCCGCGATGATTCACCGATAATTCGAAAGAAAAGGTTGCCGGTGTCGTCGCGAGAGCGTAATGAATTTTCAGCGGTCCCGACAATAGCGGCGCAAGGGACGGTACCTGGCGACGACGAGGATAACTGGAATTGAAATAAAGTCGAGGCACGACAAAAGCGAGAAATTCGATACTACTTGAGGCGCGCAAAGTGGAGCAAGCGTTCGCGAGAGAGAGAGAGTGAGTGAGTGAGAGGGACGCGAGGGGTGGCCCGGGAGGACGGAAGAGCCGAGTCGACGGAAATTCAATAACCAGTAAAAGTTTCTGCAGGAGAAACGGTCTCCCGTGTCGCGTCGGAAGAATCAGACGGTCGGCAGACGGAGCGCTGTGAAATTAGACGCTCGATGATAATTAATTTGGGTCGTAGCGCTGCCCGGAAACGCGCAATCGATAGGCGACTGTTTTTCGCCCCGCGGTCCGCGCGAACGGGGCCATCGCGACGTCTGCCCCGAAGTCGTTAAGGACCCGGGGACACCGAGACGTCGTCGACGGGACTTTTTGCCCCGAGGCGTTTCCAAGAGACCGGCGGAGCTGACCTGAATAGCCGCGGCGATCCGCGGAGCGGTTTTCAACGTGACCGACGACTCTAATCTCGATACGCCCCACGTTTCGCCGAGATTTTTCATGAACGGTGATAGACAGCTCGGTCGTAACGCGGGCGAAGTCGTTTCCTGGTCGAAGTTGCTTCCGGAGTGAATTGTTGATGTCTCTTCCTTCGCGGAAGGGGTTGGAGACGTTTATAGACGCGTAAAGGCGACCATTCGAGGTTTATATGCTTGCTTTACATCGGGAGCGGGACGGTAAGGATTTTAGACGTTTTACAGGGGATCGTTCGTTTGTTAAAGCTGGAGGAAGAAGCTTTGGAGTTGATTGGCGAATGTTTCAGGGGAAACTGATGTTTCTCGTAGACTGAAGTTTGAAGGAGAAGGGAAATAAGGGAATATAATGATTGAAAGCTGGAGGACAAAATAAGTAGGCTTAACAGTAGAACTACGTAACAATCGGAGTGACTTATTTCCAATTGTTTATCAAAATTAGAACAATCTTTCTTGAGATTCGATGGGTCGACTAGCCTTGTATCTGTGCAAATACACGAATTCGAATGAAAATCTTTCGCAAAATTCTAAAGTGGGTCAATTTGACTCGTCCGGGAGTATTAGTGTTAAGACATTGCATACTGGTAACGAGAAATCTCGTTTTTATGTAAAGACATTTAGCTATGCAACTTCGCTAATTACCACAGCATTGAAGAAAATGTAAAATTTAATTGGAATTGATTATCTATTTAAAATATATTACATAACAATATATCTGAGTTTTCGTATCTATAGCGATATAAGTTGGTCTCGCTGAAAATCGCCATCCGCAGAATACGATTTTCTGAAAATTAGTCGGTACGCAATGTGTTAAGAAGATTCTTTAGCAATGGCTAACGGAAAAACTTGCGTTCGTATGGTGGTTGCAAACGGCGAGGAGGAGATTAGCGATGTACCGTAATTTCGTGGACCAGGTTCGGATCGTGCCGAACCGTGTCGAGAAGCACGGCGTGACCCACTTGCTTAAACGCTGGCGAAATAATATTCCGGTTGGAAGGGAGTCGGCCGTTTCCATATCTACAGTCGGTCGCAATAATGCCCGTCCGCAGACTCCATTTTCCCTCTAGCCCGCACTCCAGGCCGTACTTTTCTGAAACGAGGCTGCTGGCGATCGATCAGCTGGAGACGAGCTCCCCCGTAACGACCTTAGCAAATAGATCCAGCGATAAATTGCGCCGTTAATTTTTTAATGCGCCCGCAGCCGTCGCGGGTGCAGACCCGAGGAAATTGACCCGCGATCATTAAGCAGCTCGACGAGGAGATTCAAGGTCTTATCAGGGAAACCAGAACGAGCGGGTCCGCATTTTGCGCACTAAAACTACCAGGGTCAAAATCACGCATTCAAAATTTCTTCATTTCGGAATTATTAAAAAGATATTTCTCGGAGAAATTATTCAAGAAATTGATTTAGCAATTGGCAAACTGAATTATAAATCAGTTAAAGTTTCGATAGATACACTCTTGAAGTTGATATAGATGAATCTCACCGAGTTAATCAAACTGTTCGATAGGTTTAGTGTTACAGCGTTCTCCGGCGAACTTTTCGCGCGTACTTTTAAGATTATCCTAAACTTAGGAGTAATTTCTTTCGATAAGATAATAAATCATAATAGCTCGAAGGAGTCGAGAAAGAATAATATACAACACTAGGTTTACGGGCATTTATTGTACAGTTTATTCTATTGTTCCTAGAACAGTTGACATTCGCCTATTTAGATTTTGAAAACTATAAATTTAAATATAGACAATTAGGATATGTATTCGTGTAATCGGATCAACCAAAAGCGACCGAAACATTTACCAAAGGATGTTTACGAAACTCGATGTGCCTCAAATTGACGCGCTCCGTAAAGCTAGTGTAACTTTACGCTAATAAATAGTTCAGGAACACACAGCTACGGATGAATACGCGACTACGGAAATACGGAATCGCGCGGAATATTTCGGGCAGCCGGTTTTCATGGGTGACACGTAGAAATGAAATTTTTGCGGACGGCACAAAGGTAGATGCATCGTGTAACGACAAACGAACGATGCACCGTTCCCGCTTCAATCGCGCCACTTTTTTAATGCCCGACGAAATACGGGACAGGAAGCTTTGATGATTATTGTTGGCCGAATAATAGAGCACCGTGGAGGGGGGCCGGGCGGGGGGAGGAAACGCTTTCAGGAGTTGCCGCCACTTTGTTGATCATCCCGGAATGCTGGGACGCGCTTTGCCTCAGCCAGCAATGAAATGCTCTCCCGCGGGCAGCTCGCGCGACGATAAATCAGCCAAAACAGAATTATAATAAATAGGATTAAAGCCGGGATCCACTTAAACGCCGTAACGTCGTTTGAATTTTAAAAGAGATAAATGCAAATGTGACCACGAGAGGCTACCGAACATGGATAACTCGACTTTCACGCGTCACCGTGGCCGCAAGTTGCGGGACATCGTACGCACAAACAACAGGCATTATATTAACTTCTATATTTCCGCAGCAAAATATAATTAAGAACGAAGCTCTGGTTCTGGCTTGAACCGGGATATGCTGTTAACGCAATACAGCCTAAGAGATAAAAACTGAAGCTCCAACATAGAATAACCGAGGTATCCGCCTTAGACAGAATATACCGTAACCCTAATTTCGAATAGAATCGAGTCGAAGTTTCCTAAAATCACAGCTTGATGAGCGCACAATCAAATAGCAGAGGAACAATTCTTTTCGCACGGATTCGCAACAGCTGTTTCATTCAACCGGAAACGCGAATGGGATTCCGGCGAGCCGTATGCCTCGCGCAACGAGCGAAATTATTCGAGAAAAGCACGGACGGGCTCGTTAATGACTGGTTTTTACGATCATCGCCCATCCGGTTACATCGGCGGTCTGCAGACGGTCTGCGCTATCTCATCGGCATGGAATCTGCACGTTCCGCGAAGAGGCCGCGCGCACCCACGCGTACGACCGACCGACTCCATCCCCGAGTCTCGCCCCGGCCGACAACATGACACGTTCGTTCCTCCTCGTCGGCGTGACTCACGCAACGCAATCTGAAACACGGTCACGTTTCGGCAAAAACAATGCGCCTTTATCACCGGGCGCACGCGGTGTACTTGCACGGACACACGTCACATCCGCACGTAGGACCGCGCACCTGGAATCTGATTTTCAGGGCTGTGAACTGTTCATAATCGCGAGGCGAGGTTTTTTTTATACTTGCGAATACACGAATTTTTGTGTGAACTCATTGGTCGTTTGCTTTATAGTTTATTTTAGAATTGAGGTCAATTTTAGACGTTTTTGTCAATATACTAGAAAAGAAGTTTCTCCTATGATGTTTAGTACTAATATTGACGACTGGTGGTAGAATAATATTTAACTTTGACTCGAATGATTGACGAATTTGATAGAACATTATGAGACAAAGGGTTAACGTTAAGATTGTGAGGTGAGAATGACCTACTTCTGGTTTCTATATGTTGTAGTTATGGAAAGGATAGTGCTTTTCGGAGAAATTGTGGAATAATATGGTTTAGGTATATGGAAACTGAAGTATAAAGGAACCTTGCAATATCTATAAGGAAATTGCAGAATAGTCGATTAGACAGTCAATGGTTCTCGTCTTGAGGCTGGGAGGAGGACAGAAATCACTCTTTCGAGGAGTGAACGTTGTCAATTCTGCAACGGGAGCGGGCCGAACCGCGCGTCTCTCCGTAGTTTTTAATTTTTCACGTGGGAAAGTTTTAATCGAAGTTTCTCCGTCGGCTACGGAAAATTTCATGCTCCCCGTGGGAAAGATCAAAGCAGCTTCGAACCTTTGAAGTTTACCCCGACGTGACTTCGACGAGGGACTGTCGCAGGGGTGGTTTCGGTGGCGGTGAACGTTATTCAATCTCCGGCAGGATTCGTTAATTTACGATTAGTGCGCTCGTGTAATTGGATGTAGCAATTCCGGCTGTAATTTGTATCGTCCAGTACCGTCGCATTTCAATTTGCCCGGGCACGGTTAATTACGATAATTACACCGTCGCCTGATGTGAATGACGTTAATCTTGAGGGATGGGTTTAAAACAGATAAAGCGCTGGTAACTCCATCATCGGGTCGCAGGAGTAGTGTAAAGCTAAATCGTTTGACGAATTCGAGTTCTGAAGCATTCGACGTAGAAGAAGGTAGAAGTTAAACTGATTAACGATTGAAAGGAAATCATTGACGGAGGGATGGTTTTTCTTGCAGGTACTTATCAAGGTCAGTGGCACCGGGGGATGAGGCATGGCTACGGCGTGAGAGCGAGCGCGCCGTTCGGTTTGGCGAGTCATTACAAACCGTCGAAGCAAGTCAGGGCCTCCTTGACGTCCTTAAGGAGCGCGGATGGCGGAGGACCTGTCGCGCCCACGCCGGAACCGACGGACAGGAGGGATCGTCGAGTCGACGATAACAGGGGTGGCTTTGTACTAAAAGCCAGGAGCGACGATCCTCCGGCACGGAGGAAAAGCCTCACGGAGAAATCCTTGAAAAAGGGAATCCTCTCGGTAATGTGGATTTTAAATCCTCCAGTTCTTAACATATTGATTCCCATATCGGAATATTTTAATATTTATAATTGTTCTTCTTGGCATTCGCTGTATTATCGAATCTCGTCAAAGAATTCTGCAAACCAGAATTTATCGTGCTTCTAATTCTACGTACAGAATTATCGATGTCCACTCATGGAAGCTGGTTATCCAGTAATGTCCCGCGACTGAAACGATCGTTAAAGCGTGAATATAATTACAGGGGCTGAAAATCCGGAAACAGAGGAGCACGGGTGACTTGGAGAAACGCGGTACTGGTGGCAGTATTAGAAGCAACGCAAGCTCGGCGTCATGGATGTCGACGGAGAGCTCGCAGAGTCAAGCCTCCGCGTCCGTTCACACGGACAGCAACGCGTCCTTTGTCATCGAGGTGAGCTCCGATGGAATGGTACTCGAATAAGTAATAAGGATAAGAAAGGGAAACGGGTACAGAGAGAATTAGCTTAAGTCGAACGAAGAATTGAAAGGGTCACGGGCGAAGATTAAAGTCAAGAGTTCAAGCATCTAATCGCGCAACTTTGGTTACAGGACGAGCAAATGGACGCCTCGGTAACCGAAACGTATCTAGGCGAGTGGAAGAACGACAAGAGGACAGGGTTCGGTATATCGGAGCGCAGCGACGGCCTCCGGTACGAAGGCGAGTGGTTCAACAACCGGAAGTACGGTTACGGCGTGACGACGTTCCGGGACGGCACCAAGGAAGAGGGCAAGTACAAGAACAACGTCCTGATCACCAGTCAGAAGAAGAAGCATCTGTTCCTGATCAGATCGGCGAAGTTCCGCGAGAGGATAGAAGCTGCCGTGAACGCGGCTCAGAGAGCCAGCAAGATCGCCCTTCAGAAAGCGGACATCGCGATCTCGAGGGCGGCGGCGGCCCGTGGCCGAGCAGAGTTGGCGGACATCGCAGCGGAGCACGCGAGAGAGGATTCGGAGCTTGCCCAGCAAACGGCGAAGCAGTTCGCGCCGGACTTCCGGCAGCCTGGATTGGAGAGGTTACGGAACAGGGAGATACCCAAGTACGTGCCACCCCCTCAAGACACGGTTCCGGGGAAGAGTATCCTCCACAAAGCGGGCAGCGTGGATCAGCCGGGCGGCGGGGCTGGCATGAAAAGCCCGATCTCGTCGATGGAGCCGACCTCGACGACCACCACCACGTCCACCGTGAGCAACATGATGCAATCGATCAGGCGGCCCAGCATGAAGACGCAGAATCAGCTGCCGCAGAACCAGCTGCCGCAGAACCAGGTCCCGTTGCCGCAGAACCAGCTGACGCAGAACCAGATACCGAATCAGGTGACTCCCGCGCAGCTCGTGAACCAGTTGCCGTTGAGCCAATTGAATCAGACTACCCTGAGCGGCCAAGACTTTTATCAAACGCAGTACCAACAGCCCATGTCGCAGAGCAGCATGCCGCAGGCCCAGTACCCTAACAGTATACCCAATCAGTATCAGCAGGCCGGCCAGTTCCCTGGCAGCCAGTACGCCCCGCAAAATCAGTTCCCTGTTCAGGGTAGTCCGTACGGTCAGCCGCAGTACCAACCGGTCGGCCCGCCGCAGGCGGACCCGTACTCGTATCAGCAGCAGCCGCCAAGCCAAGGCTACCAGAATATGCAGGCTTATCCTAATCAACAGGTGATCACTTCAGTCGGACCCGTTCGACACGATCGCCCACTGGGCGTCCGTTTGATATGCTTTTTTTTACACCGACTAACCCAGTATCTGTTAACCTTGAAAATTCTGAGGGGAAGGACTTTTGAAATTCAGCTGGACTGAATTGCAGAAGGATCAGACATGTTGCTTCTCCTTGAGTAACAGCTGTAGTTTAGAATTTATTATTAACTGGTGCATTTGAGGTTGAAGACTTTCAGTTAAACGAATGTGTTGCTCAGTCTTTTTAGGGTTGTTATTCAGAACAACTGGGAACTAGAATTTCGAAGCACTGGGAGTGCTCGAGAGTTATGATTTCTTTTCTAGCCTTCTAATAGCCTACCAACCGGAAGGGTGTTTTTGTTCTGTGTTGGATAACGGTGTGGTGACGATGTCATCCGACTAAGTATGATGTCCTAGCGAAACCTTCCGCGCTGATGAACGCGTGCACATGCGCGAAGGCTAACATCCTGACGATGCTGATTAACAAAGATTGCTGTTCGAACCCTGTGTGATTGAACTGGCCAGGCAAATGTTAGAATCTAGTCCGTTGGAACGTTTCAGATGCCACTAACCAACCAGTACGGGCCTGGCCAGATGAACCAGTATGGTTCCCAGCAGCTTTACACCCAGCCTCAAGCAGCGCCTCCGCCTCAATCGGCGCCTCAGCCTCAGACGCAAATTCCGCAGCAGTACCAACCTGACGGGGACCCGCAACGACCGCCGAGTTCAACGAGTATACGAAGAAACAGCAGGGTCTTAACCCCGCAAGATCGACCCGGGACTATCGGCCAGACGCTGAACGACAGGTCTTGACCTTATCTATGACCAGCTGAAAATATATCCCCTGTTTTAGATAGAAACACAAACTCGCCGCGCGTTCATCCTAAATATTTATCGGACTCATTCGACACTTTACTGGCAGCCGGTGGTTTGATAGTCTCTTAAAGGTCAACGATTAACGCCCGGGGATTCGTTAACAAAGTTTTCGGTAGAAATAATAATTACAATCGCGAACGCGCGAGCCAGGACTCTCTTGGGGAATAGAATCCGATAGCTTCTTCTGGGGTTATTATTTAAGAAAGAGTTGCTCGGCTCTGGTTTGATACAGCACAGTCGTCGAGAATCCTATTAATAGACTTCCGGTAGATAAAGTGTTGACTTGTTGCCGACCAGACACTTGGTAGCCGCTGTACTTTTACCGAAACCGCGGAAGAAACGCGGGATACCTCTGCAGGATTTCCTTGATTCCGAGTGGACCGTTTCTAATTTGACCGGTTCCGACCGATCGTTTTACAGACTAGATCATTACAAAAGGCCGCCCAGCCGTGATAGTTCCGTGGATCGTTACGCTAGAGCGCATTCCCGGTTGACTGGATCAAGGCAGCCGTCCGTCGATAAAACCATCACGAATCCGCCCCAGGATATGCTCGACAGGTGACTAAAGTGTTCCGGGTCTGTTCCAACCAGAAAACCGTAAAAAACCGTTCTCCGTCATTTAATAGAAATCTCGACGTCTTCACAGTATAATAAAAATACCCTAACCGCGCAAAAACCACGTCCACCGAGATGAACGGGTCCAAATTCTGCAAACTTCGTCAGACTCCGGGCTTACATGAGAATCTAACCGTGAATCTAACTGATAATTACTTTCCCTGTAACATCCTTGAAATCCTATTACTGCAAGCATGAAATCAGCGATTCATTCATTATCCATGCATCGTTTGACCCAGGCGTGACAAGGTTAACCCATTCGCATCACATGACAGTCAAGAACATTCCATCATGCCAAAATCTCTTGTGTAAACAGTAACGACACACATAATAATACTTATAATAATATAGTAATACCGATCAACTAATCGTCGACAGTCTAGACTAGAGTGTCATATACCCTAATTTCATACGAATTCATTATATTCCAATGATCAATATGCAGAAGTCGGCACAAACAGGTATTAATATAAAATCATAGTATTCCAGTAAATAACAGTAGCAATCAAAACTAATGATACCTATGATAACATGGTAATATCTACTAACCAGCCATCGACAGTCTAGAGTATCATATACCCTAACGATGCGAATGGATTAAAGTAGGATTGAAAGGTGTAAGAAGCTTGATCTCTGCGTGCAGATCAACGAGAGCACCGAGCGCGATCCGATCAGGCACACCGCTGAATGGATCGGTGGTGGGTAGCGGGACCGCGACGCCGACGTACGCCGCCTCGACTTCCGGTCAATTCGAAGGGGCTCTGTTGAAGAATCGTGGCCTTGGACAGGACATTCTGCCGAGTCCGGGACAGCCTAAGCGTACCGAAAGCCTCTACGTCACTCCCGGACGCGGTCCGGCCGCATCCGGCGGTGGTGGCGGCGGCGGTGGCGGGGGCGGCGGGCCGAAGGTGAGTCCTCCTCTTTTTTCGTATCACTACCCACCGTATAGATATTTATTACATTTATATTCCTATTTGTCACGCGACACCGTCGTCCTGGCACATGCCTCACGGGGCTCGAAAGATCGGTCGCGAATCCTTTGGATCTCGACCTCTACCGTTACCGCTCAATATCAAGTTATCGTCTAGTACATTTTCGTTGACAGTATTATGTAACAGAGTAGCGACTTCTACTTTTCTTATCAGAAAAATCTACGGTAATGACGAACTTTAACGATCTAGAATCCATCGACATTAATGAGCTCAAGATTGTTCGCAATTCCGCGTTACATATGCATACCGTTCCGTGAGACGAGTTGCGTAATTTAAGAACGCGACGCGGCCTTTGGCACTCTGTTTTCTATCGGTAAATTCAAAATTCAAATGAATAAATTCAATTATTCCATCGCGCGTCGTTACGAGAGTATTGATGAAAATTTATAGATTAATTTGAAGGAACGTACACTTCGCAAGAAGCCGCGGCGGGAAGTCCCCTAAACGTCACGCTATTTACGGTCACGGTTATAGCGGGAAGAGGGCGAATGCATTATCCGATGGTATGATATACTTTTATGAGTACGAGCGTATTCAACGTTTTCTCGTACGAGGCGTATATAGGGAATTTATTGGAAATTCCTGTAGACGGTGAATGGGGTCCAAGGAGATTCGCGACCCGTTTTCCGCCCGATTCTTCCTTTTAGTGCATCATTTAGGCGTTATCACGAGTTTCTTTTCATCGAACTTCCCCGCGGAAAGTGTAAGCTCTCCGGGAGACGTCCGACGAGAGACGTAACCGCGATCGAGGAGGAAAGAGTCTGAGAAGAGCGGCTCGGAGAACGTTTCGTCGGGACCGGTGCTCTTCGGCGAAAAACGAACGAGACGCTTTTCCGGGGAGCGTCGTTCGAAAATACCGCGGCACGGTCGAACACAATAACAATCGTTCGCCGCGTTAACTCGTTCATTCACGCGTCCCTCGCGAAGAATCGCGAATTTATAGCATCTCGTCGACGCGCGGCGAAGTTCCCTCACGGAAGGAAATGCCATTGAGCCGACGTGATCGTTTAGCGGGAATTCCGAGTAGAGTGCCGCCGATTCATCTAGCCGCGTAGACTCGAAATAAATCTGCATTCCCGATTCGAACGGTTCCGTAGATCGTTGCCTATAAAGTGCTCAGGGATTCTAACCGTAAACCGTGTCGGAATACTTGGCGATCATTGTAACCTGTATATAGTAAAGATAATTGACCATTAGGCGACGCAGTGTAACTCGATTCGCCCGGTAAGACCGGATTGTAAACACGATAATCCGCAGTCGGGCGATCCTGTGACTAGTATTCTTGGATAATTAGGGTGAACGTGTCAGTTCGGTTTAGAACGAATTTCGAATTGGTTAATCACGTGAATTGTAACTGATATAAGGTAATTTACAAGATTCTGCCGTTCCTGCTTGTAATTAATGAATCATGGAATAGATTAAGATGTAGACAGTTCGATAAATTTGTAAATACCCTTCGGATATATCTAGATTGAAGATAGATTCACAGAATGCCACAGTTTTATTAATTGATATATATAATGTTAGACATTTTTCAAAATCTTAGTAACTCGTTCCGAATGATTACCATCAAAATTATCGTTTCGATCGTCACTTACTCGCATACACCTTGCCAAAATCGAGTTATCCTGTTCCCTAGCAGTCAATCAGCGCTACACTGATCTTCCCCGAGGTCAGAATCTCTGAGAGTACTCTAACTTCCGATTGGTCGCTTCACTCTGCCTGCTGATTAGCCGCATCGTACGATTCTCCACCAAGCAAGCCCTTTTAGCGAGACGAACGATGTAATACCATGTTCTTTTGCTTCCTGAGTACGTCATAGTTTGCGCGGTAGTTGCTAGCCTAGCGACCATGATTAGCCATGCACACACCGGTTTTTATTACTCGTCACGATCGGGTGCTTTCGAACGATCGACTTGACTTTCCCCGTCGCAAACCGAGGAACAATTTCACGCCGACCGAACGCTTCGAAGTGATCGAACGCCATTTTACAGGAACTCTCCAGTGCCTACGGATTTGACGATCAAACGCTTCCCCGCCATTTAACGCTGTCCGATCGATATACCCGTTTCAACCCTTCAGCCGATCTCCCATACATGTCTTTGATTATCATCTCAAGTGTCCAGACCCTCCGTTAACCAAGTCTTATTTTATTTTTCTCTCTCTTCCACTTTCTCTCTCTCTCTATCTATCTATCTACCTCTCTGTATCTGTATCTTTTCTCTTCTCTGTCGATTTTGTCTGTCTGTGTAACTGTGTGGCATTTTGTGCTGTGTTCTGTGCATGCCATCCCAGGACGCAGGCCGGACGGTCCCCGCCTTCGCCGCAACGTCGAAGGGCCGCGCAACCCTATGAGTATAAGTATTATAATAAATAATGTACACCACCTGCGATCTGCGAGAGTAAACGAAGCTTGCGCCGCGTTTCGTCGCGCGATTCAGCCGAGAGCCGGCCGAGAAACGCGGCTCGTGATTCGACCCCGGACCTTCGAGCGATGTTCACTTCCAAGGGATATTTTGGGGCTCGTCGAAAAGAATATTTCGTGTCCGGAAGAACGACTGGCGGATCGTTTAGCGCGGCTAATTTAGATTAAGATCTAAATGTACCGGTGGACACGCGAATACGAAAAAGTGTTCTATATTTTTGTAAAGGGTGCAATATATCGTTTTAACACTTCGATGATGGAACGACGAAGGTTTCATTTTGAACACTGTACGCGCGATAATCTTACGAAATGAAATTACATTTTCTCGTAATTATTTCTACACTGCATCTGCTAATTATAGCGCTGTCGATACTGCGAGTTATTACTCCAATGAAACACACGCCACACTTTGGAAATATGATATTAACGTTAAGTGCTTATTAATATTCGACCAATTAATATACAGAATTTTGGAAATAGAACGGACAATTTCAAACAATCATCCGCTAAGTAGGTCCACCGGTACCGTAGCTTAATGATAATGTTCGTCGTAACGTGTCACAGTGTATCCAGTGTACATAGAGTTCAATGTCGCAAAGCAGGGTGTAACGTTGTGTTCCGTGCAAACGCGGCTGCTTGCACAGCGCGCTTATTTAAAACGATGAAACAACGGGGAAATCGATTTTCAAATCAAACAATAACCTCGACGCGTTTCAAAGAGAATATTTTCTATTTGCTCGAGGAACCGGGGTCCATTCGCGATCGTGGGCCGCAGACTTCGTCCGTGTGGAGCTTCTTGCGAACAACGCACTTCACATTCCACCGACCAGCCGGTCCAGTACACATTCCCAGACCCAGAGATCATATTTTACATAACGCCTCGTCGTTGAACGATAACGTCCCGGTAAACGTCGAAGCCCGTGCCAAAGTGACCCGGACGATGTTTCTACAAAGATAACGTATACGTTCGCGCCAAGACTCCGATCGATCAAACAGACTCGGGAATGTTTGACCGGTACCCGGCACTCGTTTGGCGCTGAATGTATACAGGGTGTTTCAATACGGGTGACAGAATTCGTAATCGAAGACAGCCGAACGGTATTTCAAACACGACCGAAACGTCTTTTTCCGTATATCTTCGAACGGGCAACGTTTCCCGACGATTCCCCCGCGTAAATCAATATTCGGATCGAGAGTAATTGCTCGATCGTTAAATAACAGTTACTCGATCGATCGTGAATCATTGGCCGAAATTTTTCTTAAGGGACAGCATCGTTTGATGTCGGACACGAAATTGTTCTCGCTTTGACTGACTCCGGCTACGGTAAATCACCGATGTTGATCGTAAATTTCTCGGGGCGCACGTAACACAGCTCGAATTGAAAACGAACTGTGGTAGTAAAATCAAATAACTCCTAGCCTACGTTGAAATATTATACAGCCTCGCGACGGTTCGCCAGAGACCGCCGATGACATTTATGGAAGTCTCGTGAACACGTGGACGAAAGCTGTTTAAAAATCTATCACGCCTATTGAAACACCGTGTATCCTACGTAGGGTCACGGTTTAATCAACAGGCACGCTCGCGGTTTACATCATGGCTGGCGTGTTAACGGGAACAGACACCGGAACCATTGTTTGGTATGCGTCGAGAAGGAAAATATTTTCAGATCGACACTTTAGTCTCGACGATGCGCGCGCCAGACTTCGCGGACTCGCGGGTAAGGCTACGATCACTGTCCAAGGGAAAGAACCCGATGGAAGCTAGTTTGGAAGATTAGATCGCTGGGTTCATCTATCGAACGTTGAACAACACTCAAATTGGTCATAGCTTCTTTGTCAATGATCCTCATTTATATTTCCACACATCACAAAAGACGACAGATAAATACTTCAACTTCGATGAAAGAATACTGGCATCCACGACGAATACAAAGCAAAGGCGATAATCGTCTGCAGCGTTAACTAAGAAATTAGTAAGTTTATTTAAAGAAAAAGGAAATCGTCCCAAGTTTCTCGACAGACGAGCTAATGAATTCAGAAATGGAGGATGACTCACCAGTTCCAAGTAGCAAACCCACGAACAATGTGTCATCGTGGCCGATGATCGTTAAGCGAAGGAACCGTTCGCAGACCTGTTAGGCCGCGACGAAAACGTTCTGTTTGCCGAGCTTCCGTCGCGTCGGGATTCATAATGTCGTAGCCTTGCCCGGGGGCCGGCGGCGTTTCCGATTTTCTGAGAGCGTGGATTAGCAAGGCGGAACATGTACCTGGTCGTAGATTGTTATTAGTTAACTACGTACGTATATAGAGGTCTCGCGTATGCGGATCGATAGGCAGTTAACCCTTTCGGCGATGAATCGCGCGCGTTTTCAATGGGCGAAATAAAATAACGCGGCCGAGGGAAAGGAAGAAAGAAGGAAATATTGAATCGGGCCGCTCCGCGCGCTCCGTGAATAGGCCACGCGGGATGAAAAGGGAGTATTGATCGAAAGGAAATGAACGATAAGTAGGGAACGGAACGACCTGGCCCGCTCGGGGAACGTTAACGAGGCTGAAAGGGTTAAATCGAACTTGGGCATTGAGCGAAAACGGAGCGACGTTCTTTTCCGCTTTCTTGTCGGGGACAGACAGAAATTATTTTTTTATGGGAAGCACAATAGACGTAGCGGAACAATGAACAAGAAGATATACGAGAGAGCACTTCACGACCGACGCACGCGATCTGTGCACGACTGCGACGATACCGCGATCGCTTCGCTGCCGAACGATTCCTTGTCGAATCACGATAGGAACTTAAACGGTTCTCGAATCGTGCCGGGCAACAAAGAAACACTCGTCGAGGAGTAACGCGATACTCCAAAGAGTAGTTCGAAATCTAGCGGATTCAATGGAAAAGTGTCGATTCGTTCCAGCTGAAACGATCGCAACGTCGGCGAAAGTCGGAGCAGCACGGATGCAATAAAAGTGCGTCCGCAAATGAATTCGCACAAAAGAAAGGTTCGCTTTCAATAATTTCAACCCCTACCCCCTAGCTTCAGTCTCGACGCTTCGAGCGAACGATGGAGCAAAACAAATTTCAGCAACCATGTACATATATATATATACACATATATGTGTGAATCCTTTCGATTCCCGTCGCCATTTTGATTTTTCCCCGTTACCTCTCGAGCCGTTTCACCGACGGCAGACGAACAAAAACAAAACGATCCGGAATGTCGAGAGCACGCACGACCACCACACGCACACACGGAAATTGATCTGTTTTTCTTCTCTATTTTTTTTTTCTCTCGAACCCAGTGCACTCGGTGTTTACGTCCATTAATTAAGCGAAGTAAGCGTAATTGATGATTACGTCCATTAATTAAGCAATTCGAGGAAAAACCGATGAAAAAGGTAAGGTTTCGCGCGCGGTGTGGAGGCGGGGACCCGGTTTCTCGTCGATTCTACTTTCTGTCGCCTATGTTCCTCCACTCTGTTCTATGACAAGCTTCGACAACCCGTCCTTGAGAGCTTCCCCGCATCAACAGGGTAACGCTTCCTTTTCTCGGCGCCATTACGCCCGCCATCGCCGGATGTATAATCGTCGGACGTGTTCTGAACCCGCCCCGCGAAGTCACGCGTTGCTGGGCCCATCCAAACCGACGTTGATCCTCTTGTCCAGATCGGCGGCGACCCGGTGACTTCGCGGGGAAGAACTGTTTTTAATCTCTCTCTCTTTCTCTCTCTCTCTCTCTCTCTCTCCTCCACCTCCACGCCGCTTGTTTGCTCCTGTTTTTTGATCAGAGACATTATTTTTCTAACGCATGCTTCTATGACATAGCGTCACTCTGTAAAGTCTATGATATATAATACTGTATACCAGTTCCACAGGATGGGATGTCTATATTATACATACATATGTATACACGTACAAGCAGATACACGCATACACACGTACATACACGTACACACGTACACACATGTTCCGTAGAGATAAGTACAGAGAAACATCGTAGCGTGAGATAATTACTTAAGTGGTAATATTGTACAAGTGATCGATGACGACGACCCTTTCGAGACGAAGGATCGTTGAAGGGAATTGTTTTACTACGGCGCAACTTCGTCTAAGCGGGAACTAATTTCTGAGAAGTGCATTTGTTCTCGAGCGTTTGTTTGATTGGCGGGAGCGGATCGGACGATCTGAGATCGACCCTTAAAAGATAACGGTTTTTAATATTATTCAAATTTTCGTTTCCCTTGTCCATTGAAACAATTCGGAGGATATGGAAATGTCGCAGTAGAAAGCAAAGGGGAAATTAGAACAGTTGTTGCGAATGAAGCTTAACCAGAGATACTAGAAGTCCTCCCCACTCTGTAACAAAGGGGGCGTGACATAAAAGTGGGAGAAGTGACCTTGAGTAACGAGTTTATTTGAATCCTACCCATAGTCTGCAAGTTGTTTCTGTGATAAAAATCGACTATCCCCGTATTAAGCATTTACATCTCTTCGAACGAAATAAGTGATCGATGATGGGTCTCAAGCTTCTCGAAGGGGTTGGTCCTCATTGCCGAAAAAAGCACAAACGTCAGTACCAAACGTGCATTATAAGAATACGTAACTATAACTCGAGATACCTCTGCTGAACATTGAAATTCCTCGTCGAATCAGACCAACGCGGGAAAGTATTAATTCTTGTGCGTTAGGCGCGGCCCAGGCCACCGACTCGTTCATGTATAAATACACACACGTACATACACACGAACGTAAATATATCAGAAAGCTCTATTTTAATCACGTTTTTTCACAGTACATTTACGAACGCCTTTCGAGCGCCACGTTGAACTACTTGAACGTAAAAAGAACGACAAACCTTTTCGACGATCTTTATCAGAGAGCAAGACAACAAAATATTCGTTTCACGGACAACAACGTTAAATTTTAAATCCGTGCGTACTCTGCTTTACCTCGCGCCGCGCGGTTTCGTTAGTTTTAATTACTGCCTCCCCGAGCACGAAATATAATGCGATTCCGAGTCGACAAATCTTGAACAGACCTTCCTGGCGACTTTTCGAGCCGCCCGACGAAACCGTACGGCAGGTACAAGCTGGCGAACACGAGTTAATACGTGATTTTGCTCAAAAGAACGCGGTGACTAAACGTTTTTAAGAAAAATTTTGAAAACCGTTTCTACGAGGGAGAGGAATCGCAGATGTTTTCTGTCGAACGGGGTCAGACTTGCTTCGGGGGGCGATCTTTTCGCGAAACACGAATTCCCTGATTCAACGTGGTTGCAATCGTACCCCAGCAGACGGTCGTGCCTAAAGAAACGAGAGGAGCCGTACGATCACGGGCCGGGACAGAATCGAATGAAACCTGGAACCTTGCCGGCGAAAATAACGCGGAGGGCAGAGCTCGGTTGTAATTGGATCTCCCCAAGTTCCTTGATCTTTCAAAAACTATTTTTTACGCGGACCGGCGGATCCGCGGCCTCACCGCGAGCCTGATGTACGGGGTTGTTCAAGTGCCAAGCTTTTCGAAAGTGTCTTTTCGCGAGAAACTGGGATACAATGTGTGATTCGGCGCAGTTGGCGTGGCGCGACGGAATTTGATCATTTTTCAACTTGTAGTTCGATCTCGATTCGAGTTCCATTTAAATAGTATTCGATCTGGGTCGTTGGACTGCGGATCTTTATGGAAATTCGAACCTTGTACGAAGACCATTGGAAAATCGAGATTACGATACAGAATATTCTGTCCGGGAAATATTACAGAAAGCGCTGCACTTTCGGTAGTTTATATATTTTTCCGTATCGAGCGCTATTTCGCAGTTTTAAATCTCCCGTAGATAAATAAAAATCCGCAGTCCGGAGGTCGTAATTCGAATTCGAGCGATCTTTTATTTGGAACTTCTCTGTTTTCGGGGATGATCGTGAAAATCTGGACGAGCAAATTTCAGCGAGATGAAACGATCGACGCGAAAACGGAACGTAGGACGAAATTTCACGTATTTTATTATTAAAACCGGAGGATAAGAATCCGTAGTGTTGTATTAGTGGAAAATCAACGTAGGGAGTTTCGACTAGAGGAGCCAGATCGATGAACGCGAATTAGCCGATGCACGCGCACACTCGACGATGCATTTCCAGGTTGCATTTCGGGGAAACGATTTCGACGGGTGTAGAATGATCGACCGGCGACTGAAACTCCGTTAATTACACAACGATAAACGCAAAACGTTGGTTCGATGTATTGGATGTATTTATGTACATGATGTAACAGCTGTTATTGGCCGACAGATTAAAAGCATGTCGATTAGGAGGACGTTGGATAATTCTCTCAACCACCAAGTCTCTTTTTTTACTTCGTTACGATTAATCGGTCGGCTTCAACCTTTAGTCCATTAATTATACCGATTTAAATTTAAATCTAATGATACTATCACTTGCAATATTCATAAGATAATGGCGCTCCCTTATTTATTTTTTTTTACTTTAAGTTTCTTGTATCACTGATTATAATTATATATTAATGATAATGTTATGTCAGGTCACGTATAGATGGGAAATAGCAAGTTTAAAGAGACTCGACAACTGCTCGCAATCATCTCTGCTACTAAATTGAATATTAAACTTCGATGTTGATCGTGAATCATAATAGAAGAATTTACGGTTATTCATGAGGTGCTGAAATAATACATTCATTGGCACCTCTGTTCCCCAGCAGTCTTGTTTTCGAGTTGTTGGCAAGAAAAAAGCGCCACGAATCTTTGCGTAACAATGTACGTTTGTCTAATTGGCCGCCACGGCTGTGCCAAGAGACGAGCGTGTGTCGAACGCACGCATCGCGACGACTGCACTCGTCGAGACAATGCCTATTGGCGTGAAAACAACGCGCGATATTTCGGTAGCTCGCTCCGAGGCAGCGTTTGACAATTATTACCAATGTCACGCAGCGTCGTCCAAAGAATGTCCGCAATAAACTCGACATGTCCCGTCCATCAAAACGAAATTCTGCATAAAACGCATGAAAATCCTCTCGGACTCTAAAATAATTCCCCAAACATTTATCGAACGATCAAACATCGTACCGTATCTTACACTCCTGAAAGAACCGAAAACACAACGACGTTTCCAATTAATATTTATCTTAAGAAAACATTCGATCCACCTTACAGGATAAATTTTCGTTGCATCATCCGTTACGAATTCAACGGAAACGTTCGTTTCAGCTATAAGTTACAAACGAATTATTTACCCCTTTCGTTCCAAATGGTATACATAGGTACCACGAACATTTTAAATTGCCGGAAAGCTAGAAAACAGCTAGATAAAAGAAAATTATACCACACGAGGATCTTCGCTTGTGGCTGACAGTTCAAGCGCTAATTAGCTATCGGTACACGTGTCCTGATTGATTAGTGCGCAGCTGTTTTTCCACAAAATTCATATTAAACAAGAATACATATTCAACGACGAGAGGGTTAAACGTATTCTGCGAAGTATACGCAACAGCATTGGAAATGTTTATAAAGGAGAAACGATCTGCAACGCAAACCACGACAACGAAGTTTCCAGGGGAGCGTATTTGCACATTTACGATCGCTTGTTCTCCGATCGAATCGTATCGCGGTGCAGAGTGAATGACCGCGATAGTTGAATGATCAATTCTACTTTAATTAGACGCGTAAATCCGTTTATCGAGGGACACGCGCAGAATGCGCGGGATTTCCGTGATTGCAGTTCCGTTGCCTCGCAGAAGAAGATCGTCCGCGAGGGATTACCTTATGACGGTTCGGGTGACTTTCCATGGGAAAAGGGAGGGTAACGGTGATCGTTAATTGGGCGGTATCGCGTGGTCTTGGCGGCGTTGGAAAATCAACAAAGCCCCGTGGCACGGTTACCGTGCATACTGATAAGCCCCGGGTCAAGAGATCATGGCAATAAAATACACTCGCAACAAGATACCGCTCTGATTAACAAAGCTAATTACCGTTGCGCCAGGATTGAAATTCGATGATTAATCGGGCGAGAAAACAAGCGTCCGACATCGATAGCCGACCGATGCAAATGCTCGGCCGTTGCTTTTGCGAAGCGCGCAGGATCGAACATTTTTCTTGAATAAATTGAGAATTATTTTGAACGATAAAATATATATACATATATAAGAGAGTAAACAGAAGAGGGAAATATCGAAGGAATAAATTATTCTATACGTACGGAGTACACAAAAACGTCTTGAAGAACGAGAAGTTGAGAAAACAAAATTAAGAATCGACTGATTGAAAATGTTTACGCAACTATACTAAATTTGAATTGCAACAGATACGGGATTTGCATAAATATTCGCGGCTTCTCGATGAGAAATAAACGAATGAGCAACACGAAAATCGTTTTAGAGAAAGGCAGGAGTCGCAGCGGGACGCAACGGTGGAGGAACAAGGAAACGGAAACAAAAGTGGGCCGAGGCCCATTTTGGCTTGCGAAGATCGAAAACAGAATTCTCGAAAATCGCGACGTATTCGTTCGCATGCCAGGCGGATGAATCATAGACCGCGATTTGCGAGTTCGGCTTTATTTGCGTAACGATATTTCCGGTCGCGTCTCGGCCGTGAACGGACTGAAGAGCTCTCGTCGTCGCCGTACGACGCGTCATCCGCGTCCGCCATCTTTGATCGTCAACTGTTACTGTACCGTGTCTTCGATCGAATCGAAACTACCAAACATGTTCTTACCGAGTCTACATTCGCGACAATGCACCAGTAACAATCAAAGAATTATCAGTAACAACTAATTGCCTCCATACATCGGGGATTTCGATGGATCACCGAAGTGACTAACCATTATCGATCCAAAGATCAATGAAAACAACACTCCCGCATGACTCACCGACGTTATCGGATGCTCCCGCAGACAAAAAGCGAGTTATCGTACGATCGAAAACGCAGGCAAGCTTAATCCTTCTCTCTAGAAAGTTGTTTAGCAGAAATACAAGTCGAAAACGAATCACGCGTATAAAGCATATCTATTTTATTTCAATATTTCACGTATCGATATACTGCGCACAGCTTAATATTACACATCAAACTTTATCATTTCCTAGTATCAAGTTTATTGGTGACTAAGAATCGCATCTGAAGGTTTAATCGCTGCTCGTCTTCCGTTTTCTCTCAAACGACCGCCGAAACGAACACCTTTCCGTGATCGGGGCGCGCGTCCACCTCGGAGCAGGCCTAAAAATACGCGCCGATACCGGTTCGACACATATGCGAACGAAAAACCGAAACGATTCCGAAATAATGCCAGCGCGCGGCGAACACCCGGCGATAAATCAAGCAGCGGTGGATCGACAAGGCTCTGGCATCGGCGACGACGGAGGAGCCGTGAGCGTCGCGACGCGGCCGCCGGTCGCGATGCTATTTCGACGAGAAAATAGTGGGGCGTCTCTCTATTTCGGTCGAACCAGCCAGGGCCGTTCAGTCTGCGGCCTGGCTTCCTCACCAGGAGGCCGCGGGTCTGAATTTTCCATTTTCATCGTCGCGCGCTCTCCAGGAAGACAAGCGTTCTCCGTTTATCGAAGTCCGGAGCCGGTTGGAAAACCCGTCGGCGCAGGAACGACGCGATCTATGAGCCCGGTTCGATCGGCCAACGGCTGGAAACGCGGTCGGAAAATGTTCAGGGATAGTCTGTGCAAGATGAGAGATGTGTATCCACCGGTGATCCGAACGAGATAAAGTATTCCCCCTTCGTTGTTCGCGGGTCAGAAGACTTTTGACACGGGTGAACGTTTCCTCGGGAGCTAAGATGTTTTGGTCAGAGCCTGACGAGGAGGAAGAGGCGCTGTTATGCAGCCCTGCGCTCATGGCCAGGAGGGCCTCGGAGTCCTGGATCGTCGCGCCTCCCGTGGAGGTACGAGAGACAAGCTTTCGACAACTCGCTCACCTTAGGTTCCACCTTTTAAGCCCTGGTAACCTCGAGTTCATTGCAGTGAATGTTTTCATTGAAAAACCGAACGGTAGAAATGGTAAATAGAAGATTACTTCGTGTCTCCCATAGAAGTATCGTAGAAGGAATGTTCTGTGAGGTAGAAGGATCTAGCTGTCAGACGTCTGTTTTGAAAGGTGACACGCTAGACGGAGACGTTGCAGCGGATCCTCTAAGTTCCCAGAAGATTCAGTTGCTTCGAACGCGACTTGAATCGTGTCGAATGATAAGGGACCTCCGTCCACGGGGATTACTACGAAAGAAATCGTTCGATAAGCTCGAGATACGATTGGGGGAGGACGGAGCGTCGGGAATCAGAGTGGCAGGCTTTTCTTCGCGGTTGTCGCGCGACGTTATCGGTGCACTTTACAATGCTCTGGAGAAATAACCTCGAAACCGAGGATAGAGTCTCGTTGACCCGTGACTGGGTTACGCGGAGCGGCGGAAGACGGGATCGGGGGTTAATTAATGGCGACAGGGGCTATCGTCGAAGGGGAACAGAGGCGCCGATCTAATTTTACGCCTAGTAAAACGCGGTAAAAGTTCGCGTAGATTGATAAGCGGGGTGAACGAGAGCGTACGAGCTTCCCTCCTCCATTTTTCGCGAGATCTCGAAACTCTCGCCGTCTCAGAATATTATTCTAATCGCCGCGCTTATCGAATGACACATTCCACTTCTCGGTAAAAGTCGTTTACGAGCGGTCACTAGCATCGGTCCAATGCAACCAGAGTGCGTAACGCGTAATCATTATCGCCGGCCCCCGTTATCGGGGTTTTCTTCGCCGGGTTCTCCGAAAGTCGAATGAAAAATTGGTGTCGAAGGTCAACGTATCCGGAGTAGAATTCCTGGCCTTTGCGTCGTTATTACGTGCGATTACGAGCGAGGCTGCACGTTTTGGAATACGTCCAAGGATTCCCCCATGCCTTTCCGACCGTCGGTCTGGCCCGGTTTCCACGCTTCTTCAAAATGTGGAACTAATGAACACGTAAACGTACGGCTGCCCGATGCCACGCCAAACAAGTTGCCGCCGTTTTTCACCGGGACCTCGGACCCGCTCTAACCCACGATCCTTAACCTCGGTTACTGATCCGTTGCCGAAGACAAATCCCTTTCTGCTAAATTAGCGCGGTCAGGACGGCGCTTGTTATCTATTATCACTAGACTGGTGACTTTTCTGCCTTTAGAGTAAATGGCACTGAAAATTCCGGGGAAATCGGATACAAATTTAATTTCGTTTTCCAGGGAAGATACTATCATATACTATTAAAATTATTAGAAATGTCCATTGTCTCGATAATGTAATCCGATAATATTCATTATGTTATAATGTTTATATTATTACATATCATCGTATGCGAGCATCCAGCAGCGAGTCACGCCGCCCTGAACGCCATAAGTTACGCGTGATTAGAATTACTCTCCAAGGAATGTGGACAGGCCATTGCTTCTAGTTCCTGTTTCATTTAAATGCTGATAGTTACTTAGAGTCCGTACAGATAAGATCCCTAACACATTCACTGTCGAATAGTATCATACCACGAAGAGTACGATGATCGAATCTTATATAAACTTACCGATCCATCGAAGTCAAACTATCATACAATATCATTAATACCCAAACGTTCACAATAACCCGCGTTAAAACATGAAACTGGACAAACTTCACGGTTAATACCTATCGAGCATGCTTCAGTGAAAATCCGGTCTTTCTCGGGAGAACCACTGTGAACATTCGAATATATCTGACACGAAATTCTACCTGAACGTCCTAACGACGAAGGAAACTCGTTTCCCGAGCGACTGTGAAAGGCTGCATCGGACACTGTCGATCTCGGGGAACAATTAAGCGTTCGCAACGAATTCCTGGCAGGGTCCGTGAAGGGACGGTCCGTTGGAAACCCATTGCCCCGATCGGACACGCGTCCGTGTGCATACCTGCCTGCACCCTTAAGATTTTAAGGCGTTTACCGAACCGACCGTATCCGTGGACCATCTCTCTCTCTTTGTTTCTCGTTTCCTTTCTTCGTGCAGGCAATGCCGGCGGCGGCAGCGGCGGCGTCCCTCCAACGAAAGAAGTCACTGCCGGATGTGGCGCAGCCCATTCAGCTGACTGCCACGGCACCGCTGTCCAGGGAGGAAGTCAGTATCCTGAGCAGCATGAGGAGGGAGGAGATCCGCAGGCAGATCGACGAGAGCGAAAGGCTCAGAGCCAACCCTCTGTTGTACCTGGTCAGTCCTCAGGTTAAAGTGAGTATCAACATACATCTGTGGATGTGTACGTTCTATATTTTTAATGAGAGAATGGTTCAACGTCCTCTGAATAACTGTTGACATATAATAAAAATAAGGGGAAACGTAGAGAATGATAAGGTATCGAGTATAATATCAGAAACTAGTGGATGGGAGTGTGAGTTGAAAACGTTTGTTCACGTGGATTTGTGAAAGATATCTACGTACTGTTTTCATGGGAACTGATCAAACCGGTCGTCAGGTAGCTGCGTAGTAGCTTAAAATGATTCATAGTACATTACACTAGGGGATAGCGTTTGCATAGTCGTCCGGTCGACGCCCGTGATATATCGAAGAGTCGATAACGGTTCGACACGAATCTTCTCTCTTTTTATATATTCGCTGTGGAACATCACGACCGTGTATTCCAGAAACACTCGTCGTTTTAGATATCCAATATTTAAATAACACTCGCAGTTAAAGGAAATCGTTCAGATCAAATCATTCCTTCGTGTAAAATTCAAATTGCCCGATGCACAGCAGAAAATGCAGTGAGAGATAAAAAGAAAATTCAAACGCATCCCTCGGTCTCTGTCCGAACTCCTCGCCGCTCCTTAGCGTTCATCTTAAGGCACGCATTTGCGAAAGAAATCGCGAGACGTCTAGTATTTCCGAAGGGCGACAGAGAATCGATTGGGAAGCGAGAAAAATACGCAACATTTCGAAAACAGCTTGCAAAACAGCTATCTACGTGTTGTGCGTAGAACGAAAAATAGACGCAGTACCCTCGGCCGGGGAGACCTTGACGAAAAGAAAAAGAAAGAAAAAAAAGAGGGGAGAGCGAGCGAGCTGTGCACGGGACAAGCTCGAGCTCGAATCGGCGACGCAAAAACGCTCACTTCTTATCGGATGATTGCGAGAGTAGGTCGCGCGAGTAATGATACGTGATTATGAATGCTTAATCGAATCGGCCGCTTTGAATATCCGGCCCGAGCCGGTCATCCTCTTGAATCGCAATTACTCAGAGCGTGAGCGCACCTTTCGCGACCGCAGCCGCCATTCGTGCGCACCCGATTGAACTCGAAGACTCGCCGCAGTTTTACGTAACGCGCTGCGATTTTCAATTTCACGCTCTTCCACGGCGTTTCGTCTCCTGCGACGGTTGGGAATTAATTTAACTATATATCGCGATTCCGTCGCATTCGTTAAGCAAACTCGTTGCACGAAGAACACGTAAACGCCACATGGCGAGCGGTGTTACGAAATCAACTTCTTTGCGCATTCTTGCACGTGGGGACGCGGGCTCTTTTTCCTTCGCGATGGTTCGTATCACTCGAGGAGACAGATAACAGGATCGCTAGTACGGTCGTAGTAACGCGTGCGCGTAGTTTTAACGGTTGCGGTGTGATCTTGTTAATGCAGATTCGCGAGGCAGATAGCGATGCGGTTGTTAACGTTGTAAGTTAGAAGGAGCGAACGTTTGATCGTAACAACCAATGTTAATAACGGAACAATCTAACAGATTGCTGTTCGCAAAATGGAAGATATGCATCTACAGTATGAATAGACTCCGGATGTTTATGCGATTTCCAGCTTCCACTGGCACGCTTCCAATGGCTTATACTTCCAATAGAAACATAGGTTGTGAATCATAGACTTGAAATAAGACGAAAATTTGAATATTCTCCATTTCGATTATCGGTGTCATCAAAGAGATCGATTGAAAAGCGTCCACCGAATATTTATCTAAAAAGAATTCATTCTTAACAACTGAACGAGAGATTTAACGGATATAATGATTTTCAGGACTGGTTCTCCCGACAACAGCTCGTGATGCTGGTGCTCTTTATCAACATATCCCTAGCCCTGATGTTCTTCAAGCTGCTGACGTAGCAGCCAGCCGACGATCGGATTCACGGACTCGTGGTAGACGTGACCTGAGGCTCGGGGGCGTCGCGACGCCCCGAGTTGTCACCGGAAACCAGAACGGAACAAGCGATGCGCGGGGGCGCAAGGACGCGACCCCGGCGCAAAACCACGAATAATGAAATTGCTGAGAACGTCCTACGAGGGATCGTGCTCGGTCCCACTCAGTCGGACGAGCGGACAACGTTCAGGTATCGAAGGGTCAGCGTGGGACGAAGGAACAAGAAGTCAACGACTACGACCACGACCACGAAGAAAAAGAAGAGGAAGAAGAGAAATCTCCGGACGAAGATCAGACGTTTTGAGTCCAGGTTTACGACAGGATTGTAACGCGGTCGAGGAAAACGAATCGAGGAAGCATACCCGGGCTCCTTTCACTCGCGAAAGGACTTCCGGTGGCGCAGAGGTTCGACCGAGACCCGGATTCTTGGGTGGCGACGGAGAGAAGAGAGCAGCTCGTTTTTTTTCTCGGACACGGGCTACGAGAGACACTCGCGTGCCCGGTCCCGGCTGTATCATACATATTTTTACACCGAGTATTTTAATAATAGTAATATTTGTAAGGGCCACGCGGCCGTCTCCCGATCGGAGGCCGGCCGCGCCCCGAAACACGGTGCGCACAGACACGAATCTCTCTCGACACCTTTTTCCTTTGATCTTTTCTTTCTCGGCGATCGGCTCGAGCGCGGACGACCACGATCACTTTTATACGCGACACTTAGAGCAGCTAGTGGATCATTCTTTCAAGCCGGGAAATTCTCGCGGATGGGGGACGCGCGGATATTTTTCAAAAAATGTTTTCCCGCCGCCCCGTGTAACGAACGAGGGGTGTTGTTTTATTCGGGGACGCTTTTTCGACAGTTGAAATTCGCTGGATCGATTCGGGTATTCGTCGGGGAGCGGCGGGCTTTCGAGTTTCTATGACAATTGTTACAGGTTTTGTACGTGAGATGCGAGAGAGTTGTTGCGTGGTTTTGAAAGAAACGATTTTACGATTGTACCCGTGTGTGTTGTTGTCGACGTGTCCGTGTAATTCGTATGAGTGTTGCGTGCGGATATCCACGTGTATAATTAATCGCGGCGGCCTCTCCTGATTAGGAGACCGCCACGTCCGCGAAGTCTGTTTCGTGTAGCCTTGCCTTCCACGCGAACACTGTACATAGACACTATATTCTCCAATTTTTATATACACGTAGCTTGCGCACGATTCGTCGGGACACGCGAATCCGGAAGCTAGAACTATCTGTCAGCCGCTCGGAGGGATCGGAGGAGGTTGATCGGGGACCGTGATAATACCACTGTTTATCTCTTCATCGCCGAGGTACGACCGCGACAGGAAAATAGGGGTGTAGCTCGTGGTCATGACGGAAACGATTAATCGGGTCCGTCGACGGAGATTTTCTCTCGGCCGTGGGAGACTTTGTATTTTCTCCGAGAATATCTTTTTTCGCGATGGGAGAGACGCTCCAGCAATTGTACGCGTGACGCGGCGAGTTTTTAGAGGAAACAACGTTAGGGATCTTTCTCGTTGAACTTTTTAACGGAAGCGCAAGAAACCGCGGCGAACCTTTTTTCGGCCGTTTCCCCGACACAAAGAGGAACGTGTTCGCGTGACGCGGATCGGCGTCGAATCTTCTTCACACGCCGGGGGCTCTCGACGTTCAGTTCGGGAACCGAAAGGTCGACCTAGCCGCGCTCGAGCGATCGCATTTTTTTTCTAGCCTCAGGCGTGTAGCTTGTATACCTAGGTGAATTTGTAAATAAGTGAACGGAAAAGGAGGACGAGCGATGCGGGAGAGAGTGAGAGAGCGTGCATGTAGACCGCGATCGCCGCAGTTCAAATTCGTCTGCATCATTCTCGTTTCGTATTTCCTTTTCTCTATTTGATTGCTCCCCGGCCTCGGCTCGGCGGATCGGTCGAATCGAATCGAATCGAACCGGCGAGCACCGCGGCCGAGGGTCGGGTTTCTCGAAACTATTTTTCCAAAGAAAGAGAGGACACTCGCTATTTTCATCCTACGCTAGTATGTATACATATACATATGTACGTGTATATACATATATACATATATATTTTTCCTCTTTGTACCTAAGACACTAGCACTTTCACGTACCGTTTCGAGTACTTTTAATCGCCGGCGCGAGTACTTTCTCGATCCTTTAGGATGAAAATGGGGCAAACGGCGGTGGATTTTTGCGCGTCGATCGGCACCGATCGGATCGCCGTTGTTTCGAGCCGCCGTTGCCTTTCGTCTGTCGACTGCGACGGAAACGGAACCGTATAAGGATAGCTTTTCCGAGGATTAATCAGCGCGACATGTCGCGAGACGCGATCGCCGCTCGACGTTTCGACCGGCGCGCGTTCGGACGTCAGTCTAGAATGGAACTTCGATGAGTCGCGGAACGGATCGATCAGGCTTTTTTGTTACGGGGATCGTTCGTATTTAATGATCGAGAGGCTATTCGTAGCGGCGGGATTTGTTGCCCGCCGATGGACATGTACTTGTATATATATATCGCAAAACTATGTACGCATATATGAGAACGATTAATTAGTATCAACGACCGAGAGAGGGAGAGAAGCTCTAAACAGAATTTGAT